CGATAGATTTTCGACAACCCAGTCAGACGAAAATTAGGTTGCCTCTCTGACTCTCTCTTAAACTAAGATATTTCAAATACGTGTAAGCATATAGCTGTTAATTGACGAAAATAAAAATTCCCAGATAGGCCATGGTCATGGCTTCGTTTAATTTTTTATTTCAATAAAAATGGTAGAATACAGAAGCGTTGTTCAGCATAAAGCTCCTAATCCCTTTTTGTCCAGTATCCCAGAAGGCGAACCGTATTGATTTAGGATGTTATCCCAATGTATGTAAATCTTATTGGAGCCTCTCAGGCATCCGTCCATACGTTCAAACCTATCCTAAAATTGTCTTTAGGTCTGTGACCGACGGTTCAGCAATATATGTTTCAAAGATGAGGCAATACGCTAGCAGCGTCGAATGTAGTAGATTTTTATTGCTGTTTTAATCATAAATGTATGTTGGTAACCTGTAGCTTGGTTTTTTGATAATCATCTACTTGCATAAATTATATGGAAGGAATCATCTACCGAAATAAGGTCCTACAATATTTTCCGCATGCCAGCAGTCCTAACCGCAGACATTCTTTCAACCTAGATCTTCAAAACCAAAAAATTACAAGGCGGAGGCAACTCCTAGGAATGTTTTAAGATGCTAGAGACACAAAGAAGAATAATACTACTCTTCAAAGACCTGCTTTCTAAGTGCAAGGGAAAAGCTGAGGCGTTCGAGGCGTACCGTTACTATTACCGTTAAGGCACATGTCAGTTGCAGAAGCAACCGCTGGTTACTTCATTGCTTCGAGCTTCCGCTACTCCTAATGCCAAATCTTCTCGCTGCGATCACATCCGAAGCAACATGAACTAGTAGGCACCCGTTTTAAAAAATCGGTTATTTATCGGTTAAAATTTAGAAGCATATCGGGATATTCCATCAGTTGTGGTAAGCTTCTTGTACGGTCGAGGAATTGAATAAATCTGGAAAATAACTTCGGAGAATAGGGACAACTGGGCGGCGTATTGTGTGCCCGGTTGTGTAGGGTACATCATAATAATATTGCACCACTTACGGCCGCCATTAAACAAATTTACAGAAAAATTCGTAAAAAAGATACGTGCAGAGTTTCGAGAAAAACGAAGAAATTATAAGGGAGGGTAACTGTACATTGATAGAGCACCCATCTGAATATATTAAATTGGACAATAAGTTTCGGCATTTTTATTTGATTTCATTAGTTTCTCATTTCTGATATATCGTTCGAAAACGATTTCACTATCAACGTGCAGTAAAAAAACTTCCTAAGGATCGATATTTAAAGTTGAAAAAATGGGTTTTTCTATGGACACTACGCATTTCGTCGAGATTGAAACTCTGGCGAAAAAGTTCGGGCATTTGCCTTACGTACGGTAATGGCACCATCGCTGAAGCAACTGCTCAATAGAAATATGTCAAATTTGAAAGAAAAATATCCGGACTTTAGGAAGTATCCCCCGCTCCAACCGATCATCTGAGTTTGATGACGTGTGACCGAATGTCAGCGCTTTCAACACGTTAACGGTGCAAATATGGGAAAAGGCTTTGAATAGTTATAAGGAATATATAACATAATAACTCGTTGTTATCGGGATAAAGATGTGATGTTTTTATTCAGTAAAAACACCACTTTTTTTTTGTTATAGGAACTCATTATTCAACCTCAAAGATACCGACTTCTTTTTTTCCAGACGGCGCATACTGTCTGTGATTTTTTCTGCATATCTCGTCAGTTTACATGAAGGTGAACTTACACAATATGTGCATTACCTAAACTCTTGGGGCAGAACTGCGTAACAATGGAAACCTATTGTAACGTATACAGGGCCCCAAGTACCGGTGCGTTAAAAGTAGGTTCGCAGGATCGAGCCCGGTACAGTCAGTCATATGAGGAGATCTGTGCCTTTAATGGCTGGGAGTTATTTTTCTTTTACTTTAACTGTTTTATGGGCAACAAAGGGTTTTTGTGCCTAAGACAACCACATGACTTATGATTTTGATGAAAGCTAATCTGCCCAGTTTGTCTTTCTATACCGAACGTCAGTTAACTCTCGGATTTTCTCATGAAACTATGTCTATGAAAATCTCTTAGGAGAAACGTTCCCCTCAAACGAGTTCGGATACCCGCACCCCAGTCTATATATGAGGAATGCAATGGCAAAAATAGAAGTTTTTTTTTGGATAACTATTAATTTTCAGATAAATTTGCTGTTCTTCTGTTCTAAATCCCACATCTTCTGGGCCACGTACGATCATTTTGGGCTTCTAAGCAATTTTATTTATAAATGATAAATAAACAATTTCTTGCTGAAATTAGCTGTGCGTGACGCATTTCGTTTTGAGTGGGGGCTCAGAGTCTAGTATGGAAAAACCCCCTATGGACTGAGTGAACAACATCGTCGCATAGAAGTAACGAAATATAAAAAAATAAACTATCTATATACGTTTACGCTTTGGGCAACGAAAGTCACAGGCGTCAATTTACTACTAATGATCTCTGTTAGTCTATTGAAAGGGTACGGTTAGCGATGGGGGCATAAGCGATTTTTCTCCCGTTGAGGTTACAATTGACAAGCGTACTAATCTGAATTCAAGAGAAAAAACGACTTTGTAGCAAAAAGAACTTTAGCTATTGATTCTGCTCATCGTAAAAGACCTTGTGCATCTGTACGCGGCAGCCTAAACTTCTCGACGTGCGACGTCCAGCACTAAGTTTATGAGGCAAAAGCTTCTTTTTTTCGTAGATAAATGAACCGTCCGAGAATACCTTGCTTAACAACAACTAGGACTTTAGACGAACTTATATAGTTATGAAAGAGTATGCTCGAATAGTAGGTACAATACTAGAAATTAGGTGCATGATAACTTAAATTCAACATGCCGATCGAAAGACTCCTGTGTAACTTACATCTTTCAGGCAATGATAACTTACTCTATAGATTTGTCGAGATTATTCATAAGACAAAACCAATAGCTACAAACTTACTAAAGTAACCGCCTAAAAGTAAGTATAAACCCATTCAAATGCCGAAGCGAATGGTCATTACGAAATACAGTATCGATGGATACATATTAAAGGGAACTATGGGCAACACAGTGTAGCTACTGGCTTTGCACCACTTAATTAATAGAGTCTTATCAAGAAACCCGCAAATATCGACAGAAGAAGTATTAACAGCTGGAACATCAGAATGAGCGTGAGACTCGTTGCCAATTTAGGGGGGTCACAAGGTGATTCATATCATTTGAGCCTCTCTTTATAAACTATTACCCAGTTACCCCGCTCGGTATCATGTGGCTCAAAACATCTAAAATATGTTTGTATCATTCGAGTGCTACAGATTTGACTATTTTATCTCATAAAAAAAACCCCTCCAGAGATCGGTGGTTCACACTGCAATCGATTGTTGAATAAAAAAAAGTGACTAATGGCAGCAATTGATTAACTAGTCGGCAGGCCTTAGACATAGCCGTCCGATAAACTATGACGCTCCCGTAAAGTGCAAGTTACGAGACGACTAACCATACTACTTTTAACCCATTAGGTAGCACACCCCATCAAAAGTCACCAGCGGCTATTCACTGACTAACGCGTTAAGTAAACTATCGGTATTCAAACTTGGATGACCTAATTCCTTAAACCTGAACTAGGACTAGGCCATTTTAAGATAATTTTCCTATTTTTTATTGACCAACATTCCATAATAGAATAGAAAGACTTTTCAATAGAAGAGGTAGACTATATTAGAATGAGAATTACCGCTGTGCTATTGAGTTGTCTGGAGCAATTTGGCTCGTTAAAAGACACTAAAAATCTTTCAACTACGGACTATTGGCAGGCGAAACATAATAAATATTTACACCGAGCCCTTTGCTGCCTACCATACATCAAAGATTGGTAGAAATATTGAGCAAAAGGCCTTCGGCAAGGTATGAGTTCGTTACTAATGAAGTCAAACTGGTAAGTCGATTAGGTAACCATAGGCTAAGTGACCAGAGCTCACGACATCGTACAGAAGAACAAGTTGCCGTGATCACGGAAGCTTCTTGTCGATAGCGATCGTATATTCCAAACGGTTCATCTGCTCATTGGGGTCGTACAAACTGTTTCTCGAATACGGTACACGTACTTCCGTAAATTTTTAAAGGTTAGTTAGCATTTTTCCAACTCGTCGAAAGCTCCATCGGCTACTACCAAGGTCTATTTTAAGAGCTATCTATAATCTACCTGTTTCCTGCTACGAAGTATTAAAATTATGTTTCATAATAATTGCTTTACTTTTAATCAGTAAACGACGTGGAAACAACAGGAAACATAAACACGTCGCTTCATTTATTTGAACGCTGCCATCTTCCAGGCCCTTCAGGCTTCTAGTTCCTTTCTTCGTGTGTTTATCTCTATTTAAAAATTTAGGACTTTCGAACTGCGCAAGAACTTATCATGGCAAATTCATGCAGTACGAAGTAAAGCTAATATTTTAAAAGCTACATGTATATAGGTCTATTATAACTTATTGCTAAATTGCCTTACTACGTCCTTGCACTTTAGTTTAAACTATTCGTATTTACTACTACTATTACTCAGACATAATTACGGTTTTGACGTAGCCTAAATAGCGTCCCATGGCGCGACATTGTAGAATGAAGGACGATCATCAGCTAAAAATTTGCCGTAATTGAGTCTATCTCAGCACATACTAGCGGTAGGATATCTAGGTACTCTATTCAAATCGCGACTGATTTATGCAACCCCACTGACTGCCACCCAGTCAGCCATAGCTGGCTACATAGAGTCTAGTTAGTTAACTGTCAGCAAATGGCACCAGCGGCATTGTTCTCTCACCCGCTTTGGCCGTAGCTGCCCTTTCCATTGAAGAGCCCTTTCTCAGCGTCGCGCGGATACAACATGATCGGGAAAACAGAAAGGATAAGGTAGCTCAGTGAATGGCCCAACGCGATCAGGGTACAGGGTTACAAACGATCCTATCTGTCCGAAAGGATATCACATCCTGACTCTAATTGAACTGCGCGCGCAAAACGCAGATAGCGGGCAACAAGTATGTTCTATCACAGACTAGATTTGAAGTGCTCCAAGTGAAAACACTTTAATATTACTCTGATGATCGTCTCCGGCAGTATCGCATGTACGAGAACGTAGTGCTGACCATGGCGAGTCACATGTGTTGTCTGCAAATGCTTACTATTCGTCACTGTTCGCAAACGGGCCTTGTTGACACGGAATGTTTCTTTTGTTTGTTGTTAAGATGTTTCTCAAATTGACAATAGAAATCGTTTAAGGTAAAGCAAAAAAAAAAAGACAACAGATGATGCAAGGTGCGCTTCCCGTATTTAGCCATCATATACGATCCACTATTGGAGTGTCTAACGACGATAGTGATTGATAGGATTCCAGCAGTTGGATTGAAGTAACAATGAAACCTTTAAGGAGGGTTTTATTTCGCGGATGTTACTCGAAGTGAATTTGAGTTAATGTTCAATTGCTGTTTTTACATACTGGGATGTTACTTTGTGATATTGTGTCAGTCTGTTTGTCTGGATACATATTCTTTTTTCGGATATAATTGGAAAATGAGCTTTGTCGGACCCTGCTAGTGCCAGTTGAGCTCGCATTCAAATATCAACATTATGATATAAAATGTGTTTGTAGACGGTATGGCATCTGTCCTATTAATGCGTAGTATTAGGTGAAATTGTGTGTAAGGACGACGAACGCGGAACACTTTGGGTGATGCTAAAACAGGAGTAAACGGGTGAGCAGGAAATCCGAATAAGGAGGACGGAGTGCAAGACCGATCTATGTCGAGCAACCGTCATGGCTCCTCAATGCCTATTATTAGTTCTTGGAGTTTGGACGTTGTTGGAGACGACTGTTAAGGGAATCCGGGTAGAAAGGGTGCATATCAAGCTACTACGAGGTACATCGGGTACCGTTGACGCCTTCAAGGGCTGTACCAATGTGACCCTGCTCAATCAAAATCTGCTGAGCAGTAGAATCATTGAGCTAAGCTTTCAGCCAGACTGTGAAGGACAGGTATATTACAGCCACTATGGCAGTCTTGAGCCGAAGGAATTTGTCACCGAATTCCTGGCGCAGACTAATCAGTTAGCACATATAATAACTATCCATTTTGTGGTCGAAGAAAATCGTGACATGAAGCGTATTTTCCGAGCATCCGGTAGGGTCCTCATTCTCAGGCCCAATCAGTCCCTTTCGACCATCCTAAATCTACACAATTGCTACGCGAGACTTCTTCGACCACCTCGATATCGCAAGCTCATTGGCAGCTGTGGCGGAAGTTTGTACGAGTGGCAGAATTGTGAGAACCTTCAGGATGTCCAATATGCCGAGCAAACAGATCTCGACGACTTTGTGTTGGCGATTCGCCAAGACAAGGAAGTTAACGTTCTGATCTACCTCGTCGAAAAGCTTCAACCGCCCGAGCCGTCGTTTGCCTCGTCACTCCGAGTGGAAATGGCCCCCGGCATCCTGAGCGCTGTTCGACACAACGTGCTCTCGACAGACGACATGGCCGCGTATTTCAGGGTGCGCCGCAGTCCATCCGAGTGCAGTTTTTGCCGAGCCAACTCTCGCACAAAGATAAAGCAGTTTTCGCAGCGGGACATTGACAATTTAGAGGTTGCTCTCTTGTGTGACAAATTGGACGAGTCGTCTGCGGAGCTGCTAGAAATGGAAATGGATCTCGTTAACGTACTCGGTCATGTGTCGTACGAACGGTTTGTTCTGACAGTGAGTAAAACTAATTACAAGGCAGACGTTTCATACGAAGACGTCATTGTAAACGGAAACTCTTCAGCCCCATTTCTTGTGCAGGGCGACAAGGATGATCGATTCTGGACTGTTGATGGACTGAATCGTGGCATCCTCTTGCGAGAGGGCGCTTCCGTCGATCAATTTGCCGCGAATCTTGCGCTCGAGTACAGCTCAACCACAAACATCATCTCCACGGACAACTTAGTTTTACAGCCTGACCAGCAGACGTTTCAATTTCTTGTTCCGATCATCGTATTGCCATCGAATATATACTACTACGTCAATTTTCAGGAGTTTTCCGTACTTATAGGCAGAACAACTACATTGGCTCGAAATCTAATCAACCTGCCGGATCCGGTTTTTCTCGGAGACCTTGTATTCATTGTCTCAAAGCCTTTACCAGCCTCGGGTGAATTTCTCTTAGAGGGTAAAAGATCAACAAGCTTCAGCCTTCAGGACGTTTTTTCCTTAAAAGTATCTTACCGGTCATCACCTGCCGCCAAACCAGGCCAAGAACACATTCTCCTCGTGTGCAGTAATTCTGCTTTTGTGACTGAAGTTGTGACGACAGTGCATTACGATCACCATCTAAACGATAAGAGCATCCCAAAGAAAGCAAAAGAAAGTGACTTACAAATGAAGGTCGGTGCCCTTGGAATGGCTGTTGAACGCGTGCCTTTCGAGCGCAATCACCTACACTATGAAGATTCGGCAGCTGAGGGTGACTCGTGTCCTCAAGACATCTTTTTCAAGATCACCTCACAGTTGACCGACTCAGCGAGCTTTTCGGCCCTTAATAACAATGGCAAAATTGCCGACGAAAATGGCAACGCACTAACCGAATTTACGCAAAAGGATATTAATCGAGGTCGAGTGTTCTACTATCCGCCACCCTCTGTCCTCGACCGACTTCAACCACGGAGCCTCAGCTTCGAATTCTCTGTTGCGGACCGTTCGGGGAACAAGGTAAATAATCACAAATTCTACATTTACCTGGATTCGGTGAAAATCGTCAAATCGGTTACAAAGAACATTACCGTTAGTTCGACCCAGTTGCCCCCAGTCATCCCCCTCGGCATGGACATTATAAGTCCCGCCTACAATGTGAGCAAGAGTCGATTCATCTTAAAGGATCCACCAAAACATGGAACTCTACGCGATCTTGAGAACAACGTTCTTACTGTCGGTGACATCTTTACTTTTAACGAACTTATAAATGGCGTCATACGGTACGTGGCCAGTAGCAAGACACTTAGCGAAGATGCCTTCAAGCTAGTTGTATATGATTATAGTTCAGATAATGATCAAATTCACCATAGTAAATACGTCTCTATAAACGTGCAGTTGCGCGTCGATAATGCCCGGTCGTCCCACAGTGATGCTGATCGCCTAGATACTACGTCCTGGCAACTTAAGGTAATCGAAGGAGGAAGCAAAAGCATCGATATGCTCGGATCGAGGCTCGTTATGGTTGAGTCTCCTAAACATGGCCGAGTAATCATCGGCAACAGTCTGTCTCAGCAGGGCAAAGCTGGAGTCACGAGCGTTACATATTTACACTCTGGCGATGAAGTGGGCCTCTTTGAAGAGAGCGATTCCTTTACTGTACAGAACGAAGATGAAACCAATACGCGTGTTGAGGTTGTAATATCGCCTGTCGATAACAGCCCACCCGTGGTAATTCTGCCGCTAGAACCCAAAGTTGTAGAAAGTGGAAACGTGTCGCTCGGCATTGAAGTAGAGGATAGGGACAGTGAGCACTTCACCTGCGACATCGACGAGCAACCAAATTATGGCTGGGTCACTAGCTCGAAAGGTTTTGTGTTGACCTTCGATGAGAAACTGATTGACAGCCTTGTATACGTGCAAAATTTGCATGCCCAATTAGAACCGCGCAGAGACTCATTTAGCTTTACCTGTAAGGATTCAATGAACACGTCACCCCGTCATACCCTGACTATTGAAATCCTGCCAGCGAATGATGAACAGCCGTATTTAAGCATCGATGATATCACAGCCCTTGAAGGCAAAATTGCTCCGGTCAAAATAAAAGTAACGGATAGAGACCTTCCGCGGGACCCACTCACGTTCCAACTGACGAAGCCACCTGCTAGTGGTATTATTGGGCTTCTAAAAGCTAACGGTGAACTTCAGACTGTCGAGGAATTCACTGATGACGACATCGACCGCGTGGCATACCAACAGGATGGCTCTGAGGTCAGCTTTGACTCATTCGAACTGACCGTATCGGACGGCATTTATAGCGTAGCATTCACAGCAAGAGTACATGTACTCGCTGTGGACGATGAACTGCCTCATGTTGTGGTGAACCGAGGCCTCGAGTTGGGACCTAAAGATATTAAGGAAATATCGGATAAATTTTTGATGGCACAAGACAAGGATAGCCCTGATGAGCGAATTCATTTCGTAATTACGCGACCGCCACGCCATGGAAAGGTGGTGATTGACAGCGAGCAGACCAGCAGGTTTACGCAGGAAGATATCAAGGACCGGCGGATTAAATATCGTCATACGTCACGATTATGCTGCTTTAATGATTCATTCGAATTTAAAGTCACCGATGGCTACAATACAGGCCCTGTGCAAAGCTTTTCAATCGATGTTTCGGCACCGGATATCGAGGAAGAGTCTTTGAAGCCAAAAAGCATTTCCTTAAGTTCCATAGCATTCGGTTTCCGTTCGTCATCCAATTACTCCGCTATTCTTACCGAAAGAGATTTAAATGAAAATGGTGTAGACTGGCTTCGTGTCCTACAGCAACCCACTAATGGAGAACTACAGTTCCGAGAAGGTAAGCTCGATCAATGTGTCGCAATACGACAATCCGATAGATCCTACGATATTTGCAATATTAGCTCGTATTTAGAAGCAAATCTTAATTTATTATCGTCCTAAGACATTATTGCAACTCGCCTTTAGTCGGCATCTAACTAGAAACGAGTAAAGCATCCAATACTGGGTTATCTAAGACTGTTTTGTTTTAGCATATCTTTAAAAGTCGGCCGAACAAACGTCTATTACTGGTGTTTATGACTGTGTCCGTATCGCATAGTGACTCTGCAGTTTTGTTGCATTTTTAAAATTAGTTGTTTATCTGTCTCTCTTTCAAAAAAAGAGCCCTACCCATATGTAATAACCACCCGAACTAACTACTATCGAGTTCATGTAGCCAGTGCGAGTGAGAAATCTTTATCACTTACCAGTAAAACAGCAGCTTGCATGGAAGCTGGCCGTTCGCTACGCGGGGACCCTTGAAACATCCGTTGTACTCACAAAGCCCTTAATATGGGCTATCCCGTATTAAACAGCAATGGCTATATCTTCACAGCCTCACTTTGTCGACCACAACGGCTTTCACCGAGATCTCATGTAGAGCTATTGCTGATTCTTTCGTGCGTGGCCTATGCGGCGCGTTTGTACCCAAGGTGCTCCCGTATCTAATTCGCATGTTTCGTCTTTGACTGACATAATTCACAGATGATAATCGCTCGAACAATGCGTAAAGCATTTAGCATCCACCTACGTCCTATACTGTCTGTCCGCTAAAACCTCCTAACCCATCTCGTCTTCGATGGGGAGGCTAGGCTTTTCTCGTAGCAGGTGAGAGCCAGCATGAGACAGGCAGTTTCATGAGAGGCCAGTGTGGGGTATATGTGGGGAGAAAAGGAGGAGGATAGTTAGAGAGAGAGAGAGACAAGAAACACGACAGCCTGAGGCCACGAAGGGAAGATTCCTCCCGCAGCTTTACTCACCCACAGAAAGTGGTTACGTCCCGTCGAGTGTCATCGGCTAGCTAGCCGTACTGGTACCAGTGAAGCGATAAAGGTCATAGCATGCGGGAATTGCGCAAATGTTTGTCGATTCAAGGCCGCCATATGGATCGACTCTGCCCGGTCCAGGTGTCATAAACACGCGAAGATCTGAACTGAAGCACCCTATCGATTCTACTATAGATGCAATCATAATAGGGCTAGCGTGACAAGGCATACGTCACCTTGGCGCCAAATAAAGCTGTAATGATCACCGTGGACAAAATGATACTTCGCGGCACGTACGACGTCGACTCTTACTAGTTAGCTACCATCTACCCTATAGCCGAACATTTAGAAAGGGAAATCCAACAGACTAGTCGTTCTATGATAAGAATCGAATTGTGGCTTCACACAAACACTACGAACCGATGATCTCGACAGAATTTCAAGACCATTAAATAGCAGTGTTACAAAACGTCACTCGTGTTAGCTCGTATGTAAGAAATGAATATGAATATTTGCTTTTAGCAGATCTTAGAAATTTAATTTTCCAAATATACCTTCGAATTGTTCAAATACGAGGTCCTATTCGTGTTCGGTGCGCCAGGCCATCGAACCCGTTTTGTGCAACTCGCAGGCTCAGTGTAACCTGCAAGCATGAGCTAAAGGCGCTAGTCCTGTATCGTCCTCTTTCGTTTTGGCCGTCTTGAAACCGCCTTAAGTCTAAAGGCCGCCAATGGCATTTCTATTTCCGTACGTTTGTGTGTGCTTAATGCTAATCTGGCTAGGTATTATGAAAATTTTTAGTACATCTAGGAAAGATTGTGCTTCTGCGTACCGATATACCATATTGTTCAGTCTTGAGAACAGATTTGAATATACGACAAGTGTAAAGGGGCTGCAAGATAAGGCATGTTTCTTTGAAATGTCTACTAAGTAAAAGGATTCACCTGTTTGCCCGTTAGACTGTTTTTATTCAGCAAATCAATAAAAACGCCTTTATTTACCCAAAAATAGACATTATAAAAATTGATAATTTTCTTAGATAAAATAAAAATAAAAAATCATTGCTAGATATCCCCTGAGATTTCCAAATACTTCTTTAATTATATCCATACTGCATAATTTATTATCCTGTAAGAGCCAAAAAATAAATGGTCTCGAGATGTCTTTCCCAATTACAGTATAACGACCAGTTATCAATTTTCTTCTATTCGCTCAGTCAGTTGAAGAAATATAATAAAGACACACTATATGAGCTTTCGATTATTAACAAGCGAAAATAGTTAGCGTACATTTTGAATTTTCTGATTACAACGCGGCGACAAGTTCTGAATCGGTGATCCGAATGTCTTTTTTCAATGAATACGAAAGAAGCTGCCTGTCGGACAACTTCCCGAAACATCTAATTGCAGCCGCAATATTATCTAATTAACTCCTGAGAAGGTTGACACAATAATAGCAGAAGGATGATGTTTGTGATTGATACCATTCCCCTATGATATAATGTATTCACTGACTGTACAGCTGTTCACCGCTCTTTACGTTGCTCGCAAGGCTTTCAGTTTGTTACACCCAGACCGTATAGCACAGATTCACCTAAGAACTTTTTGAAGGACGTACAAACAATGAGTCCTTAGGCTACCGCCGGCCTACCTGTACTACTATCCTTCTTAAATCCCTTTTTTTTTCTCTTCTTCTTCTTTAAATGTGATGACAATAGGCTATTCAATTTCAATGAAGGATTTTTGCGTCCGTGTTCAACTCCGCGACGTTTTGTCGAACTAGATCACCGATAAAGAGAGAATTTTTGTAAAGAACAGGAGGAGGGCGTACTGTCAAGGGTTACATCTGATGTGGGTTTACAAATCATTTCAATAATGTTCTGCTCTGTGATTACCAAACAGGAGCTCCCATCATTGCCAAGATAATCCCGGTGCTGATAAGCTATCTAAGACATTAAACGCTAACTAAGTGACGAAAAAAGATTGTGACCCTTTAACTTTTTCGAAAATACTCATTTTGTCTTTTGGCTTGTTCATTCGTACCAAGCTCAACACCTTTGCGGCGTTGAAATTGCGTTGAGAATGTAATCTAACAAAAGCTCTTGTGCAGTTTCTCTCTCGTCTCTCAGAATTACCATCATATAAAAAAAAAAAAAAAAAAAAAAAAGTAGTTAAAAAGTGATGTACGCAGGCTTGAATGGTCGGTATTTAGGGGCAAAGTGAGCCATTCTGCCGTGTCAGCGTGTCACAGACCAAATCAACAACTGATTAACATTTATCGGTGTAGAGCGCTTCGACATATACTGGGACTATTCTCTATTTTTGATCGCCTCGAAGAGCGTACGGATACATCCACCAATCTAAAATAGGCAGTTAGAGGGGCCTAATCACGAGGTAGACCAATGACGAATAGGTCATCAATGATTTGAGGAGTTGATGAAGCTACTGAGGGTCAATAAGTACCCTATTCGATAATCTACTAGGTCGATTAATCAGTTCACAATTGAAGAATAACGCGTTAGCCCGTTTCTGATATAATGAGCTTCTAAATTGTATGCACAGACATCTCGAATCTTCGAGCCGGTACGCCTAAATCTCCATCGACTGGCTCCACAAAGGCTTATCTGCGTAGTGCTTGTAAGCAATTGATTATAAGGCCATTTATCACCAGGTAACGCTTGATAATTTAGACTCACCAAATGAGCACTGGAAGTTTGTACTGACACATAATGAGCGCAATGTGAATCGTACCACACAATCGCTAAAGCTTGAAGCTTTCGGGAAACCGCTAATAATGACGGGTATATGAATATAAAACCAGTATATCACACAAAGCCTCCAGGGGCTTATAGTTTGAAGAAAACCCTGCAAGTCACCCCTTTACAGCTAGTTGATATGCGCTACTCTGGTCAGGCTAGTGAAAATTTTATTCAAGGAATTTTACCATTCGCTGCTATTAGCTCATTTGGAAGCGGCTGCTTAGCACAAGCTTCTCCTAGTTGCAGGAATTAATCTCATTGCTATAGCCTTTTCTAGTATAGGCGGCGTCGATGGTCTCTTGCAAACGCTTCTCAATTCCCCCTCGGCCACCTACGTGCTGTCCTTAAGATTTATGTTAGCTATAGTAATTTTGCCGTTGTTTCTAGTCAATGTGCTTTCTGGGCTTGACGCTGACAGGTGTACATGCGACACCTGGGCACCTGTCTCACCTATAGCATAAATCACGTATCATTTCAAGGTTACTTACATTTTCGACAGTTTCTGTCATCCACTGCAGGCTAGGACTATAATTAATGAGTGCTGGATTTTAACGCATACTCACAACATTAATTTACTGCGTTCACGTTCACAGACTTACTAAAGCCAGCTTCATTATTGCAGTTTATGTTGCTTTTTTTGCGATTTCTCCTCAGCTTTTCGAGATATCAGCAGAGAATTATGAGACTTTAATGGGTCCGAGCGCCGATCGCCCGGTAAGGTTTCGTTTCGAGTCCGTGCACCGTTTAGGGGAAACCTATGCAACGATAATTGCTGGTTAGTGCGGCCACGGCCAACAGCAGCCATAGGGATCGCAGTCTGTGAGGGAATATTATGAAGGGCAAATATTTATTTATCGAAGGCAGAAGCGAAAGCTGTTTTGCGTAGCTTTGATATCGTCGGTGGCTGCAGTCTACATAAAATGGCAGCGTATGAACTTCCGATAACTAGGTGGTGGAATAACCAGCTACTGACTCCACTTGCAACTTCTGCCTGTAACCACAACACATGCTCAAGAAGTTAACTTCGCTTGATTAGCTGAGTATTCTTTAACTGCCACGATCTCTGATAATGAAGTTATATGTACTTCTTTTGTTGTAGTTACGACTATACTGACCTACTTCAGTACTACAAAGTGTGGTTTCTAAAGTGTGATAGCCCATTTCCTGTGTGTTTGATAATTCAGATCATGATGGTGCGTGAACAGTATCATATACGTCCATCATGCCGAACTCACTGTTCGCTTGTAAGCACCAGCAATTTCTAGTTCCGTCATT